CCCCACGGTACACCCCTTCCCCCGTACAAAATGGTTCGATATAAATGAAAACGATCAGTTCTGCAAGACCAAGCCGAAGAGCGGGGAGGAGGAGGAGGCGAGGATCAAGGCAGAGCTGGAGCGAAAGAAGAGGGCCAACGCGCAGATCACGCTCATGGACCCCAAGACCTCGCAGAACGTCGGGATCGCGCTCGCGAAGATCAGGCTTTCTAACGAAAAGGTGGGGATCCGGCCCTTGCATTGCGTCCTCGAAGGGGGGGAGGGGGGGGTAGGACCATGGTCAGGACCCCGGAATATCGTCCGGTTATTTCTCCGCAGCTCTCTGAGGCCTCCCGCGATCTCGCGACGACAGTAGTTGTTCCGCCGCACCGGAACAGCCCACTGACCTGCGTCAACGTTGCCGACGAGGTAGAGTATCGCCGCGGCCCGCCACTGCCGACAGCGAGGGTTTAGATTACGTGTTTTTTGAAGTGTTTTTGGGGTCCCGGTGTGTGTGTATGTTTTCGGAGTGTGGCTGTATCTCTTTGGCACTGACGAAGGCTTGTCGTTTTGCTGGGGGCATGGCCTTCACCTGACTACGCCACTATTATTCTGTTTTGGTATGGTGACGTGCAGTTGTCTTATGCCCCCGTTTGCGTTGTCTCCGGGCCTCTTTTTTTCGTCGCGTGTCTTTGCTGCTGGGGGTCGTGACCGCGCGGCCCTACCGATACCTCCCCTGTTCTTATCAAACTCCGCTTGATTCCGTCGTTGGTGTACCTAATGCCGACCAACCAACCAGGCGCGCCCTGCCAGAGTCGTTGTCTCTTTCTGTGCCATGGATGACACAAGAGGGGAGATGGTTGGGTTGGCTGCCTTTGTGCCACGCGACTCCTTCACGAACAATGTCTTTGAAACGTCGCTGCTACCACTACCGCCGTACGTCTACGCATGCAGATCGTCCAAGCCGTCATCACGATGGACGAGGAAGTGTTGGACATGGAGATCATCCGTTCGCTCCGCCAGCAGGCCCCCACGGGGGAGGACATAACGGCTCTCAAGGAGTTCGATGGGGACCGCACCAAGCTCGGAAAGGTGTGGGAATAGGTAGTATCTCTTCCCGATTTTTTACCGTGTTTCGTCCCGCTTTTTTACCGTGTACCGTTTTCGAAGGAGTTCGATGGGGATGACACCACCAACCTCGGAAAGGTGGAGGAAGAGGGGCTGAATTCCGTCCCGCTTTAGAGTCCCGCCAAATCATAATCGTAGCAAGGTTCGTGCTCGCTCCCTTTTGTTGACCTTGTCCAATGACACCGCCGTATCGCTGTGTACTGTTTTCCCTCGCACCTTGGTCGGTTCGTGTTTTTGTGTGTCTGGTCGTCAACCTTGCTGTTGGTTGTTGTTGTTGATTGATGTTGGGAAAGGTGGAACGTTTCTTCCTGGAGACGATGAAGATCCCGCGCTACGCCCCTCGGCTAGACTGCATGATCTTCAAGGGCGGCTTCGAGAGGGACGTGAGGGACTTGACGGAGACGCTCGACATCGTCAGCAACTCTTGCACGCAGGTGAAAAGCGGCGTGGTGGTTGTCGTTGCCGCCGTGTTGTTGGTGTTGTTGTTTTCTGTAAATTTACCTTCCAATGGACGTCACTGGCGTTGGTCGTTGGTTGCTCGTTGTTGACAGCATGCCTATATCGGATGTGCTGCGGCTCATTTTTTTGTTTGTTCATTTTGTGTGTACATGATGACTGCTGTTATCACAGGTGCGGGAGAGCAAGTCTCTGAACCGGCTGTTGAAGATGATGCTGGCCGTCGGTGAGTGGAGATGGAGGTGGACGAGACAGAACCAAGGACAGGCAGTGCTTTCACGTCGTGTACATTTGTTTTCTTTTTTCTTTCCCTCGCTGCCTCGGCAAGGCTTTTGCTTAGGCATGGTCCATAGCGAGGGGGACTTTCTAACGAGCATGGCTAGACTCACCCTCAAGGGATCGATACCATTTGTTGCTGCAGCGCACCCGCCGTGAGGCGTGCGTAGTGGTGGAGTTGGGTCGGCATTGGTGCGTCAGGTACAAAGGTGCAGATGCGCGGGCCTCCAGGCCGTCGGTGTAGGCAGCAATGTCCATGTCAGCTTTGTGCGCGGAGGCAGACGCCATCAGAAAGGTGGACGGGCACCATGTACACGGCCCTAGTTTTGCTAGAGGCAGGTGTAATGTCTCAGTAACTGGCTTCGCCATCAAAGGGGAGGAGGGAACAGGCGGTGACGAGCTTAGCGGGCTTGTTGACCCTTCGACGCGAGAATTTTCAGACCAAGAACCCCAAGTGCAACGAGGGAGAAAGCGAGGAACCGACTGGGAAGGACAGCAACGAGAGCGTGTACGGACGGAGCGGGTCGAGTTCTGTCGTGCTAGGCCTGGCCGCAGCGACACCGGAGCAGCAGCGCCGGAGCAGCGGCATCGGAGCAGCGGCACCGGAGCACACGGACGGACGACAGCGAACCGTGACGCACGGACAAACATTTTGTGTTGTCAAATATTTTCCGTTTTTTTTTTTCCTGAACATTGGTGTTGGGTGTGTGTGATGACGTCACTGGTTTTGTAGAGAGGCGCGGCAGAGATGGCGCGGATACCCCCGGTGCCTTTCTTGTGTACCTGCATCTTGGAAGACCCCTTCAATGTGGAACGATTTCCTAGTCGGTGTCGATTATTTACACCGCTGTGTCCAACACAGATGATCGTGGGTAGATTCGGTGATTGTCAATTGCAATGATGGCTTTGGTTGGTTGTTCTCTTTCGCTGTATGTCCACGGACGCATTCCGACAGCACTTCAGGCAGCAGTCGCGCGCCCCGAACTTGTACCATGCGTACCATGGTGTTATTATTGTACAGGCAGCGCTTCAGACAGCAGTACACTGCTGTAGTCGACAAACGTTCATTTTGGTTCAATGACAAGGGGGGTGATGCTGCTGCTGTAGTCGAATTGTAGTGCGTGGGCGTGTAGTTCAGTTGTGAGCACGCAAACGTGCTGCAGGGATTGTAGGTGTACTTCCTCGGGCTTGTTGTATAGTGCCCTTTACTTGCTAATTGTGTGTGTGTTCTTAAGATCTTCTAATGGCTCTAGCACTTTTTGTGACCACGGACCGAGTCTTTGCTAGATTTTCCGATTAGCAACTGACACGAGTTTAGTGTGAAGGCAACAACAACAACAATTCCGAGGAGTCTAGATTGGAGATGAGGCGAAGTGTTCATGTAGCTGTTGAACCGTGCGGTACAGCAGTCCACACTCGCGTTTCTCAACGCCTGTCGAAGTAGGTTTTGAGTTACGGCATCAGCGTTCTCGTATGTTTCGCTTTTCCACTCTTTGTTGTGCCATTTTTTGCGGTTTGTGTGTTGCCTCGTCTTTGTCTTTTTCCCTGGCGGTTTCGTTGTCCTTAACCCCGGGGCGATCAGGTGTTTGACCCGCGTACAGATGAAGGTACTGGGTAGAGACATCGGAACGGTTTTTGGTGTGAGGACCAAAGCAACAATCACGATTCATCTCCTCTTTTCCCCCACCCTTTTTCTTTTTATGCCTTACAACAACACAAGAAAATAATATATATCCATGCCTTTGTTGTTTTTTGTTTTTGTGTGTCTTCAGGGAACTTCTTGAACGGATGAATGTATAGATGTCTTGTTTTTGTTTGTGCTTTGTGCTTTCAGGGAACTTCTTGAACGGAGGCACTCCGCGAGGAGGGGCGTACGGCTTCAAGGTTGACGTACTCAAGAAGTTCAGCGAGCTCAAGGTGAGGCTTTCCGGCAAGGGCTGACAGGCCATCTCTAACATACATCGGGGTATCTTCGAAGGATGTACACCGGGGTATCTACGAAGGGCTGCTAGAGTACTGTTGTTGTATCCCTACTGGGAAGATTGGCGGATGGACCAAAAGGACTTGTCTCAAGGAACACCTGGGGGTATTTACGAAGGAAGGCTAGTTTCACTGCTGCTGCCGTTACCTGTTGCGGAGAGTTCTACAGCATTGCGAGTGGGGTGTAAGCCGTCGTTGTCCGTCTTCTCACTTGGCCAAGGATGACACAAGAACAACTTGTCACACGAAACGCACGCGTAGTTGTTTGCGTAGAGGCGACAGAGGCGACAGAGGCGACAGAGCCCTTCCCCCAACGACAGGGGTCTTGATGCAAAGTTGTTCAGGCCTTTCCCCCCTCTCGCTGTTTTTTTTTTTTTTGTCGCAGGACGTGACCAACAAGCGCACCCTCATGCACGCTTTCGCGGAGTGGTGCCAACGATCACACAAGGATCTGCTCAACGTCAGCGACGACTTCCCTGACATCGAAGAGGTTTGCCAATGAAACAAAGCGATAGGCAGGGGCTCGACAAGGAAATAGTACTCGAAGCTGGCAGAAGCTAAGGCTAATTGATTTTTGGGCGTGATCATATGCGGCACAAACATGACCTTGTTGATTGCGTTTCGGGTGAAATTTTCTTCACAAAGTGTATCTATGCGTAAATGCGGGTGACATATGTTTGAGTATCAGTACAAGGCGGGTGGCTTCTTGAACCAAGAAGCATGAGAGGCGGTGACGGTTTCCGCACGTTTACGGTGCCCCTCCCCACCCCTCCCCCCAGGTGTTTACGTGCCTCCCCTCCCCCGGGCGTTTACGGTGCCCTCTACCCTCCCCCCGCATGTTTACGGC